GTGGACGAACAAGAACAAGTGTTGCAATTATCACACCAAACACAATTCATGGTAACAATACCCTCCCAATCAAGGAGATCAAGAATAATCGCAATGATGTAACCGAGAATTTACACAGAATTCGTATCTCGTTACTTTACCATCCACATTGCATTTCAGACAACCGTCCTTTGGCTAATCTCCTCTCCACCAGCTGAGTGTTGTTATATCATGCCTACCTATGTCTATGGCGGACTGTTCCCTTCTATTCTTCCAGACTTTGATTTCGTCTATTTCTATTATATTAAATCTCAAACAGTTTGTTGATCCTTTCAAAATATCTTGATCCTGACAGTGTAACAGTCTCCATGCTGGGAAAATAATCACCATTTATACTTTTGAGGGATATAAGAATGCCAATCTATTGATTCTATTGGTTGAACAAAAACGAGCATGAAGGGAGGAAGTATTGCCGGTTAATATTCTTTTGTTTGTTCTGCTTAAATTGTTTTAGCTGGATATAAGGCTTTTATCAAGACTGTTTCGTAAGTACCGGCACAAGAAACATATGGTTTTAACGTTGCTGTTTGAGAGATTGATGAATAATTGTGATTATCGATAAAAGTACAGCCACAAAAGTTCTGGTGTAATAATGATCTTCGAAAGAATATCAAGATTCAAAGTTCATAGCAGACTTACCCAATCATAAGTTCCTCATTTAAGCTTTTATCATGTTTCTAACACATGTTTATTGTCTTTGTGTAATATGGTTTATGCCCATAGTCCTGTTAGAGAATGTATTTAGTCTTAATATCGAGACATGGGAACGGCTAACGAAATTCTGATTAGAGTTCAATACAATGTATGTACATTATGAACTTGTTTGGATATAGTTTGCCAAGTAAAGATTGGCTCAAAGATAACGATAAAACAATATACAAGTGAAACTCGATATAAAAAGCTCTCGATATAAGAAACACTAATTAAAATTTGATATAAGAAAGTTGATCTAAAAAATAGTCTATATGAAACTATCTCTATACAAGAAAGTTACTAATAAACTCTCGGTATAAGAAAGATTCTAAGATTTTTTACCATGGGTCCCGATCACTTTCTTATATCGCGAGCCACTTGTAATAAGAAACGTACCTTCTATCCTTAAGGGATGCTTTACTAACATATCATCATAGTCCTCAATAATTTAATTTACCTTCCACCAACGGACTTTCAACATTGCGTGCACCATCTCCAAAACTCTTTGTCGTGAATTTAGATTCGTCGCTCCAAATGATAATTTCCCACCTTTTATCGAGCCACTTTAGTCGTGGCTCGCGCTGTTTATGTGTCAGAAAAATGAGTAATCCACGCAAACAAGTATGGCATTGGGCATTTGAGGACGACTCACCTCAGAAGAATTAAACGAGAACGCAAGAGCTATTTTCCTCAATTGAAGAAGCTGTATCTTTATGGGCGGAGCAGGCAATTCAAGATGTAATCACTTTTAATGAAGAAATTAGTGGGAATTAAGAACTTTTTAGCTTCAGCTTTAAATTTCGACAACGAAATGATTTATGAGTATATCGACACACAGAGGTGAATTAGATAGTGTAGACAAATCACAGTTTTCACAACAGTGTATTGAACTTTAAGAAATTCTTCCTAAGCAACATATACAACTGTGATGCAACAGCTCTTTTTTCGAAAGCCAAAACTCAATCATACTATAGCTCATGCATCAATCTCAGGAATGAAACTAGTTAAAGATCGTGTTTTGGTTATGGTGATGTCGTGTCAACAACTGCAAGAGAGCAGACAATCGTCATGCACTAGGAATTTAGCTACTTTCGTAGCTTCTCCTACTAATAGTTAAATATCGGCTTACAGTCAGTGAACCTTTAAGAATGAATTTCAGTATATCGCCATCAATCGTGAAAATGCTGAATTTATAATGACCTTCCCAATGTTTCACGTTCAGAAATAGTTTGTTCTTAACTTTTTAACAGTTTCAGTGCCTTTAAGAATTGGTTTTGCTATAACTTCTGCGACGCACCTATTTTTGTCTTCTCATAATGAACAACTTCACGAACTAAACATCACTGCTTGCTTGTCCTTCAGTTAACGGATTATGTACTCTTGTTCCATACATTATTTTTATGGCGGAAGTTAATCAAGAAGTTTTAAATAATAATAATGTGGGTTAAATTCATGGACATTAAACATTAATATTAATGTGTCTTTCTAATCTGCTTTTATCATGTGACTTGTTTATCTGATTTATCAGAGGCCAAACACACAGGCTATATGGGGCAGACTGCAACAAAACCAGACAAAGTGAACATTCTATTATGTGACATAGATGAGAGGTTACATTTTGATCACAGCAATAACTTGTACACAAATTTATGCAGATTACAGTTTTAAATTAATATCATGCCAGAATATGACTAACATTAAAGTTGGCTGACATAAAGATAAAGTCATAACAGGATTGATATAGAATTATGTCTATATAAAAATATAAATATGAAACTAATTTACATTAAATTGACCATGGAACCAAAAAATTACTGTACTATTAGAAGCATTTTAAGGTAAAAAAAAATTGCTCCATATGTTTTAAAATCAATGATACTAAAATACTTGAGTAATATCTAGATAAAGAAAAAATTACATATGAAATTTACCAAGAAGAAAGAAAAATCATAACTAATAAATGAGAATTAACACCAACTTATGATGAATCAAGAAAAAAAAACGAAAACTTGAAGAAATATAAATTCAAATAACTGTTTAATATTATCAATTAAAAATCAGGCATTAATTTACAGTGACTCACAAAACTGGCTTAGTGTTTGCAACTGTTGGATTCATTTACTGATAACTCTGTCAATTTTCAACCCATGTTAATCTGAAAAGAGACTTACTTTCTGGCTTTCAATACAATTTTGTTTTATTGGAAAAGGCTTAAAACTTTTTGAGTTATAAATTTTTAAAGACAATCAGTGCATTGAGTCAGTTTTGTGAGTCACTGTATCTAAAGAAAAACAATCATCATTTTTATCAAAGCAGCACAGTAAACTAATTACAATACATCTTCCCATTTTACAATATACTCATATACAATTCCATTCTCTAAAAACCATGACAACTGATCTTTCCCTTTAATCAAGTGTGGCACTTTTTCAGGAGAATCCCCAAGAGGCCATAGCATTAGACTCTCGTCCTCCCACAGAAAAACGCGACCATAGCAATCTGTCAAGACTTACGATTAGCATGACGTATTCCTCCGTGATTTCCGATGAGTTACACGAACATTTCCAAGCCGCAG